ACAAGCATATGACTACTGGCAGAATCAACCAGGTAACTAATTCTTTCCGACTTCCCACTGCAAGACCTCGCGCGAAACAAGGCCAAGCTTCAGAAAGCCGAATCAGCTTTGCCCCACCCCTTTCCCTTCGAAAAAGGCAAGAGGAGAGGCTCGGCTGACCGTGTTTTTCACAAAAGCGTTAGCAGTCACTGCGTTTAAATGAAAACGCAGAGAAAGCTGGAAATCGCTTCACCCCAGTCTCGCTTGGGCACCGAAATGCCCTAGCAGGACGGAAGGTCAGGACGAATTCCTCCTATCTCTCCGATTCCACTTTGCTCTGGAATGAAAACCAAGCCTACGTGTTTGAAAGTTTCGAAACAGTTGCCTGTTCAAATGGACCGACAAAACGTAGCTTAGGCCACCCCTTGGTGGAGGCTAGATGCGATTTTGTTGATTCCATAAAGAAAAAACTCCAAAGCGTCCGCACCTCCGAGTGAATTTGGTGTTACATAAATGCTTTTAGGACTAGCCATCGGCAAGGATGTTCACCTCATTCGCCATTGCGAGAAAAACTAAAAGACTTTCCCCGACTTTAATGTTTTCGCCTCTACCGTTCAACCACAAAAGGGGATCAGCAGGCGTGGGCTCCACACTATTCGCCTGGTTCGTCGATACGCCTAAGCGGAGAACTCTATGCGAGGTGAGGTTCCCGGTTTTTTGGAACACAACACATCCGAACTTTGATTCTAGCAGTCAAAACTGTTTCGAGTCCTCACCACGAGCTCGCTCGAGTGGTGATGAAACGGCACAGCAGAGCCTGTGAGAACCAAGCCAAGATCTTCCCAGAGACATCAAGCAAGCCCGAAGGCAAGCGACTTCAATCTGAAAGGAGGAAAAGAGAAGTTCACAGTCGCCGACGATTTGTACAGATGCTTGCTGCCTAAGCTGCTTGCACTTTCCATTTCGTCGTTGAGCTATTTGCTCCTCTTTCGTATATCCCAGGGTAGGGGAGTCTGTGGAACTGGTCCAAAAGGGGACCTGGAAATTCTCTCCCGGCCACAGGGTGGGGTGCTCGCGCTTTTTTTGGACCCTTGCGCGCCAAAACGGAATTTCGGACCCTTTTCGGATGTTATTTGTAAGGGTCTAACATTCTCACGCGCGCGATAATCCGAAAAGTCAAAAAGTCGCGCAGATCTAACACGTTGATGCGCGCGCGCGTAAAGTCGAAAAGTGTCTGGCGCGCGTGTGCTGAAGGCGGTCTAACATTGCGCATCGGACGCGTCGAAAATCTCGACTTTTTCGACGATCCCACTTTGAGTTGGTCAGCACACTCTGAAGTACTTTGTCGAAAAAAGTCAAAAAATGTCGAAAAAAAGGTGACTCCAAAATGCAGGCCCTGTATGGCCCCGCCCTTTTGGATGAACTCGGCAGGGAGTTGCCTGGCAACGGCCGGCCGAATGTGGGACTCAATGATGAATTACACGGATATGAACACACACTCGGCCAGTCCAGAGTGTAACTCAATGAGCTCAGATACGAAACTACAATCTAACACTAGGAACACACACTGTTGTCTTGGTCATGGCGAGTGCAGCACCATTGTTGAGTCTAACAAAAGTGAAACTCAAAAAAGAACAATACTTGAGTGCAGCCCTGCCAAGGCCGCCTGCCGACTTGGACTTTTTCCAAAAGTTGTGCGCGAGGCAAAGGCTGACCCCTTTGGAAAAAGTCGAAAAATCGAAAATGTCCAAAAGTCCAGCCAAGTCGCGCGAGGCAAAGGCTGACCCTTTGGAAAAAGTCGAAAATCGAAATGTCCAAAAGTCCAGCCAAGTCGCGCGAGGCAAAGGCTGACCCTTTGGAAAAAGTCGAAAATCGGAAAATGTCCAAAGTCCAGCCAAGTCGCGCGAGGCAAAGGCTGACCCCTTTGGAAAAGTCGAAAATCGAAAATGTCCAAAAGTCCAGCCAAGTCGCGCGAGGCAAAGGCTGACCCCTTTGGAAAAAGTCGAAAAATCGAAAATGTCCAAAAGTCCAGCCAGTCGCGCGAGGCAAAGGCTGACCCCTTTGGAAAAAGTCGAAAAATCGAAAATGTCCAAAAGTCCAGCCAAGTCGCGCGAGGCAAAGGCTGACCCCTTTGGAAAAAGTCGAAAAATCGAAAATGTCCAAAAGTCCAGCCAAGTCGCGCGAGGCAAAGGCTGACCCCTTTGGAAAAAGTCGAAAAATCGAAAATGTCCAAAAGTCCAGCCAAGTCGCGCGAGGCAAAGGCTGACCCCTTTGGAAAAAGACTATACATGTAGAGAAAAGCCGATCTCACATTGACACCCCCCAAAAAGAAAGTTTGGAATATCCAAACAAATCGTGGAAGATAGGGCTGAGCCTCAGCAGATCGTAGCACAAGGCCACTCTACTGCTTACAGCACCCCTTCCATTCAAGTCGTCTGCAAGAGATTTTTCCCCGCTCATATTGGTATTGCAATTCACGAGGTAGACAGCAGACCTTTCCGTCCACTGCCCCTCCCTCGCC